CTCCTTGTACACTTCCATCAGAGCTCTTGGGTGACCAGGTGCATTGTCAAGGAGGTGTAATAGTTTAAAAGGAATCTTTTTTCTAGGCAGCAGGTCTAAAACAGTGAGTTTAAAATATTCAATAAATCATGTGATAAACACATGTGCTGTCATCCTGACTTTGTCTGTCTGTTTAAAAAGTAAAGGCATGGAAGATTTAGCATAATTCTTAAAGGCACTAGGATTTTTGGAATGGCAAATGAGCACTGGCTTCAACTTAAAGTCACTAGCTGGTTTAGCCTCTAACAAGAGTCAGCCTATCCTTTGAGGCTTTGAAATCAGGCTTTAGACTTCTCTGCTCTAGCTATAAAAGTTGTAGATGGCATCTTCTTCCAACAGAAGGCCATTTCATCTACACTGAAAATGTGTTACTTGGTGTAGCTACTGTTGTCAATGATCTTAGCTAGATCTTCTGGATAACTTGCTATAGTTTCTACAGCAACACTTGCTGCTTCACTTTATACTTTTATATTCTGGAGATTGCTTCTTTCCTTAAACCTCACAAACCAACTTCTGCTAGCTTCAATCTTTTTCTCTGTAACTTCCTCAGCCTTCATAGAATTGAAGAGAGTTAGGGCTTTGTTCTTGATTAGACTTTCATTTAATATTGTGGCTGGTTTGATCTTCTATGGAGACCACTCACACTTTCTCTACAATAAGACTATGCTTTTTTACTGTATATGTTTTCCCTGGAATAATAATGAGGGAATGTGTTCTCTTTCCAGTTCCACAAGGGGGCATAGTTGTAAGGGCAAGAACTTCCCAGTGCCATGCCCCCCTCCCATCTCTCTCCATCCAGATTTAACTGTATCTGTTTTAATTTTTGCAGCCATGGGAAGAATCAAAAAGTCAATCACTCCAGTGGAAGTTCTAAAGAACTCCTTTCACTGGCCAGAGGTCTAGAAGAAAGTAGGGGTTCCTCCCAGGTTAAAAGTCCCCTTCTTCCACACCCCTTTGGACTCCATGTTTGGATCCCCTTCCACTACCTCTCTCTCATGGAAGCCTGTCTTCCCCTCCTAAACTCCATCTCTCTCTCTCAATTCCCTTCTACCCAGTGTGGAAGCTGTCTTTCCTCTCCTGGATTCCATCTTTCTGGATTCTCTCACTCAGTGTGAGAGAAGCTTTCATTTTCTGAATTTCCCCTCTGGTGTCCCCTTCTACACTCTTCGTGGATGTTGTCTCTTCTCCTTTTTATCTTTCGCTACCTAAAATAAAATCACTTTTCCGCGAAAACTCTGTTTGGGGTCTAGTATTTACTTTATGAGTGTACCTTGTCCCCTCTCTCATTCTTGAGAGAGCTTGGAGAAACATCCTCTCAGGGAAGCTGAGGGCTCCCCTGAACCCCAAACAATACTTTTAATTTCCTTCAAAAACTTCCTTTGCTTTCACAACTTGGCTGTTTGGCACAAGAGGCCTAGCGTTTGGCCTGTCTTGGCTTTTAACAAGCCTTCTTCTGTAAGCTTATTTCCTCATTTCTAGCTTTTGATTGAAAGTAAAGGAGGTGTGATTCTTCCTTTCACTTGAGCACTTGAAAGCCATTATAGGGTAATTAACTGGCACAACACTTTCAATCTTGTTGTGTCTTAGGGACAAGGGTGGCCCAAGGAGAGAAAGGGGAATGGCTGATCAGTGGAGCAGTCAGAATACACACATTTATCAATTAGCTTTGCTGTCTTCGAGGGGCTCAGTTTGTGACACCTCAAAACAATGTTACGTTAGTAACATCAAAGACCACAGATCCTCCTAACAGATATTGTAATAATGAAAAACTCTGAAATAGTGTGAGATTTACAAATTATGACATGGAGACACTAAGTGGCACACACTGTTGAAAAAATGGCACCAATAGACATACTCCATACAGGGTTGCCACAAACCTTAAATTTGTAAAAAACGTAATTTGTTAAAAAAAATGTAGTATCTGTGAAGCACAATAAAATGAACCACAGTAAAACAAGATATGCCTTTATATGACTTGAGCAAATTACTTAATCATGTTTGAGCCTCAAACTCTTCATCAATAAAATGGTAGTTTTACATTTTATAAAAAGTGAAGAAATTAGATGAAGAAATTAAATATGCTTAACATACAATAATAATAGGGCTTTACTATTTTTATTAAAAGAAATATTTATAAATTAAGGATTTTTTTATACTTCTCTTGGTTAGGAAAAATAAGCAAGCTCATGTTAAGAACAAAAGTCTTGATCATGTATACTGTACACTAAGTACTGCCTTTGGTTAGTTCAGTTCCTGACTATAAAATTTAGGGCTTTCAGAATTGTAAAACTATTTGTCAAAACTCAAAACACATTCAAACCTTAATCTTAGAACTAAAATCTCAGTGACTTTTGGCTTTGTCATTGACATTAGTTGTTATGCAGCTTTCAAAGATCTATAATACCACTCCTTTATTCCCTCAAATCTGTAAGCTTTCCTCAGTCCAGAAAAACCACCTTCACAACTTAGAATCACATCAGTTTAACTCAAATAGGATGGTATAATCCACTGAACCTTCTACCAGGAATTAGCAATATGTTTATCAATTTTAAATATAAATCTTGTAAAACATATATCTCAAAAATCAGCTAATTGAAGAAAATACTTATTTTGAATTTACATACTTATTTTGAGAAATATAAACAATGCAAAACCCAACAAATCACCAAATTCAAAAGGACCTCATTATATCATGCAAACACTCTACACAAGATACAAATTATATTCCCATATGAATTCCAATACCTGTAAACTGAAATTTGTTCCTATATCTACATATAAAGAAGTAGAAGAAATTGTGCAATTAAGTGCAGAAAGACTGTAATTATTATGAAAAGAATGGTGGTATTTTTGTTAAGCTCTTTATCTAAAAGAGCTATCTGGACTGGTCAAATTTGTTGGAAAATATATCAACAACCCATTTCTTGTGAGAGAGGTAATTATTAGCATCTTTTTAAAAATTTAGTGAGCTATAAAAACATGTTCAACGCTATAATAAGTTCAATAATATTAGCATCAGCATCAAAGCTAATGTATGGTCAAGACCAAACACTGGTATTTTTTTAAATATTTATGAAAACAAGCCAGGAACAGTGGCTCACACCTGTAATCCCAGAACTTTGGGAGGCCAAAATGGCAGGACCACTTAAGCCCAGGAGTTTGAGACCAGCCTGGGCAATAAAATGAGACCCCCATCTCTACAAAAAATTTAAAAATTAACTGGGCATGATGATTTAAAAATTAACACAGCATGCCTGTGGTCCCAGCTCCATGTGAGACTGAGGTGGAAGGACCACTTAAGCCCAACAGGTCAAGGCTGTATTGAGCTATATTCACACCACAGCACTCCGGCCTAGCAACAGAGACCCTATCTCAAAAAAAAAAAAAATTCTAAATATGTATGTATATTTATACACATATATATTTATGAAAACATATTTGCCTTTATTCTTAGTATAGTTCCTAACTTGAACTAAAACAGACTTTGTTAGTTGAGTTTTCGAAATATGAACGTGCTTTTTGCTCAATTAAACAACATAAAAGTCACTTTTCAAAAAACTATTTTATTTGCAACGAGATAACTAAACTGACATTTAATTTAAACAAAATATTTTAGAGTATTAAGAAAAACTTTAAGACTTTTTTTTTAAGTACTGATTTAAAGTTAACAAACATGGCTGGGTACCATAGCTCACACCTATAATCCCAGCACTTTGGGAGGCCAAGGTAGGAGAATTGCTTCTGGCTAGGAATATGAGACCAGCCTGGGCAACATAATAAAACCCGTCTCTACAAAAATGTATACATATATATAAAATAAAAATAAAATAAGATAAAGTTAGCAAATGCCATATTCTATTTATTCAAGATACATATTAAATAATACTATAATTTAGGCTGCCCCCAAATTACAATTCCTATCTCCCAGGCTTCCCAAGCTGGAATGCAGTGGCACAATCCCAGCTCACTACAGCCTTGACCTCCCCGGCTCAAGCGATCCTCCCACCTCAGCCTCCCAAGGAGACAGGTCCACAGGCACATGCTACCATGCCTGGCTAATTATTGGTTTTTTTGTAGAGACAGGGTTTCACCATGTTGCCCAGGCTGGTCTCGGACTCCTGAGCTCAAGCTATCCATCCACCTAGGCCTCCCAAAGTGCTGGAATTATAGGCGTGAGCCATCACACCCAGCCTCAATGCCAAGCATTTTTTCAAAAAGTTAACAGCAAGGAAAAAGTAAATATATTTTATTTTTATCTTAAAGTCCCAATATAATAATATTAATAAAAATGACATGAATACATTATATTAAGAAAATAAAATCTGTTAAATTATTGATAAACGACCATATCAATTATTATGGATAGTAATTGGAGTACGGAGTTTGCCTTTATCTACTCTCACATGCCTTAAGCATGATAAAAACTCAATACCTATGTGTTGAATATCTATACTTCAAGAACAAGAAGCATAATAGTCACATAATTCTCCTAAGAATCAAATATGGAAAAATCCTAAAGAACTGGGAATTCAAAACAGGACATGAAAAAATTTTTATATCATGCAAATCTAACATTAGTAAGAGAAAATCTACCCCTTGTATCCACAAATTGTAAGTTACAGCTACAAATTGTGTATTGGCTGTTTCAAAGAAAAATATATAGCCAATGCTGGTTTTGAAATAATCTCAATTTGGTCTAAAGGGAAGTCATTAAGAGCTGAGTAGAAATGGTGCATATATTTAAGCCCCTATAATCCTGGTATTATATATGGCCAAGAAAGAAAATCTACCACATTCTATTGTATTTCTGTAAACACCACACCACCTCTCTACGGAGAGCTATAATAAATAAGAAACTGAGCTAACATATATGACTATACAATGACCATATATCCCTGTGTTTCACTAGGGTTTCTGGTTTTAGCCTTGCTGGTTTAGTGGTTAAGGCTCAATATTCTTACCGCCATCATCCTGGTTCATATTGTGGTCAGGGAGAAAACGGGTTCATCATTGGCTAGTTTCATTTACCCACACTTTTCTCTTGAGTTTCATCTACCTGCTGGAGAAACATAGGGAAATTTACTCAGGGTAGAAAACTCCTTATATTACAGATGTTTGCCAGAAATTTTAATTGGACAAAGAGTTGCCTTTTAAAATATTCTCACACGCACCCCAAAGAAGCTTTCCCAGACAGAAATGAAAGAAATCATAGTAAATGTGAGCAAATAAAGCAATGCCTAAATAAAAGGTGCACTGAATACTGCTATCTCAATTAAATCAGATCTCTACTCTCCAACTTAGTATTCTAAGGAAATTTTCCTATTAGAAGCTGCTGAACATGTAAGATAATTTGACCTGCAATACTCATAGACAAATAAATGTGTTATCTGGTTTGCTTGTTAAAACCCAACTACCTACCTTAAGAATATTTATAGCACAGACAAAGCTACTATTAGCAGCTTTATCCACCCTAAAGAGAATGGTTACTATTATAAGTTCCCAAGTATGCATTTATAGAAGAAAGCAGTACTTTAAGAAACCAACTTTTTGATCTTGAAGCAACGGATTTGGGAAAAGATGGTTTTACAATAAAATATATAACTCCAACCTCCAGTTACATTGCTATTTTTTCATAGGAGAGACATGGCACTGTGTGAATATTATGACTCAAGCTTAGTCATCTCAACTAAGAATGAAGTAAATTTGTTAGAGTAAAAACCTGAAAGGGAAAGTACATGCATGTAATTCTAAGTTGCTATTTTTAGAATGGGGTTTTTCTCCAAAGAGATTTTTAAAATGTATTTCCACATTATTTGTGCTATTTTCACTTTAGTGCTCTGTTTTATTTGCTACTAAATAAAAACAACAGGGCTGGGCGCGGTGGCTCAAGCCTGTAATCCCAGCACTTTGGGAGGCCGAGGCAGGTGGATCACGAGGTCAAGAGATCGAGACCATCCTGGTCAACATGGTGAAACCCCGTCT